AAAAAAAAAAAAAAAAAAATGAAACTGTTTTTATCTAAAAATAAACATAATCATATATAATAGTAGAATAAAAAATAATATAAATTATAAATAAAAATACTAATTGTTTCATAAATACATACAATTTTGTGCGATTTCATATTACACGTTTTCCTCGCATCCTTTGGTGACAATTTCTACTACTAAATAATATTTGTTTTTTTCATATTCAATAAATATTTTTTTACGACCTATAGATATTACATTGGTCTTCTTAAATAATACACATACGACATACATATATAAATTAAATAATACACAAGTATAAAGACACTTAGAGGAATGATGGAAAAAAATCATCAACATGTAAATACTATATATATATATAAATATGCGAAAATAATACGCCAGGAGAAAAAAGTAAATATAGAAACAATTACAAGTTAATCGCGTAAAAAAAAATGTAGAGTATAATAATTATAATAGTAATAATAATAAAGAATAATAATATAAAAAAAATAATACTGTTTACGAAAAAATTTAAAATATGAAACAATAATATTATAATTAAAAATACTTGCAAAACACAGTCGTGTTCGTAAAGATCATTGACTGTTGCGTAGTTAGGCAACACTGTCCAGTAATTTTAAAGCGTAGGATAAGAGGTGCCTAGTTGGGTGTCAGCGTATCCGGTTGGATGTTGGATTTTGAAAACGAGACACGCAGGTGGTTTTGTTCACTGAGCCGATAATTGTGCATCTTCTACAAATTAAAACAAAAACAGAAATCAGTCACAGCTAGGATACCATTTTAATGTCCGTGTTAAGCAATTGCCACGTATATCCATAAATTCACGGACCCCAATTACGGTTATATTGTTTAAAAGTTTAATGGATTTTTTAAATAATTTTTTTGAAAGATTATAATAYTATGTACTGTTGTAACAAAAATGAGTAATTGATTTTTTCTAAGCTTTTATATTCTCGGGCATGTTACATATTATATTTGTCCACTTAAAACGTATTCCATTTATTTATTACACATATACAAGACATTTTATATTTTTATGTGGAAATTGTACTATATCGGTTTACTCTACACAAAAAATGGGTAATGAGTCTAAATAGTAGAACAATGGCAGTAGGATGGACCATTTTGAACGATTGTCGGAGGTAGAATCTTAGGTTTGGACATTTACCGATTGCGATCAAAGCATTCAAGGTTGATAGTTCAGTTGCACCAGATAATTTTCAGGGTTGATATAGATCAATAAATGCTCTAAATAACAGCCGTTGCGGTCATTTACGTTTAAATTATGTAATTAAAAAATGCATAAGGTAATTATTTTTTGATAAATTCATATTTTTCACGGTTGAAGGTTAAGCAGTTAAGCGCAATTGGTCAACTGTCTGTAAAATATAATAAGGAGCGTGATTGGTGCACTAATCCTTGAATACAAATTAAGTTTTAAGCGAAATTGGTCCATGCTCGTGGGAACTATTTCGTATGTTAAGCTTTAGTACAAKGGGAATGTCAAGATCGCATATTATACTGGAATACATATTATAACATATAGTCTTTTACATTAAAATTCACGATATTGTTTTAARCTCGAAAAGGTATACATAAAATGGAAATAAAATTCCTTAGAATAAAAATTACCAGATTTTAACGATAATATTATGATTGCAACATTTTTTTTAGGATTCAGAGGATTTAGTCGATGGAAACCGCGAATTATAGGAATAACTTAAACACTACTTTATAAATTCGAGCTCTATACGGGTATAGATATATAATATTTGCTTATTGTGCTTACTATAAGTGCGGCGACGGCTTCCTCCAAGGATTCCATTTGAATAAGTGCCATTTTGCGGTCTTTACTGAAATGTAAAAAGCCGTTCGGTTAAAAAGTATACGGATTGGAGTCCGAAAAAGTGTAATAAATAAAAAACATTATAATAATATACTAACGGGAAGAACTTGAAGTCCTTGACAGTGAATGCGTTGTTTTCGAACGCCGTCTTTAAGAAATCTTCCGATAATGTCGTTCTGTTGAATTATAATAATAAAAAAAAAAATATTAAATTAGAAAACGCGGAAAGGAGGCTCGGCTGGCTATTAAAACGCTCACGGTATGTTGGACAAGTGGAGAGTGGACGACGGTGGATAGATGTTCTGGTAGTTTTTGGAGCCCGGCTTTTTGAATCGGTGTAACGGCGACGAGGTGTAATCTTTTGTCAGCCCCGAGTCGGGCTGTCCTTCTTTAGGTAGCTGAACAGTTTGGTACTTGGATTGCATCACCCGTATGTATTTGCCGTACAGACGAACTTTGTCCAAATGAAGCATGGCTACAATGTTTGTACAGCGGCAGTGGGTGGGTGAAACAAAAAAAAAAATATCGTTGTAAAAAACGCGCGAAAACTTTTTTTAATTCTAATAGACTCACCCAGATGGGCTTGATGCGGTTCAGCCATTTGTACGAGAGCACCGTCTTTTTTGTTGTACAAGATCTTCACACGCAACACGTCTCCGTAAACACCTAAATGGAGTACACAAGAATTGTTTAGAAAAAAACGACATATAACGAAGCCAATATGATAAATTAAGATAAGAAGATTAAATTTAAAAAAAAAAAAAAAAATAATAATAATAATAATTTGAAATTTAAAAAAAAATGAAATGAAATGTTAAAAAAAGGGAACCATGCAATTTGTCTGTTATCAAAAGAAGAAAATATTAAGTGTTCTAAAAAAAACAAAAATGTTTTCACTTAGATAAGAATATCTTAACGATATATTATTTTATTACAAAATAAAAGAAGGCAGTTGGAAGTAATAATAATGATTTATGGCATACGTAATGGATCATAACACAAGTTAGAATATTGACAAAAAACATGCTTCCATCTGCCTTGAAGGTTTAAAAAAAAAAAAAAAACTTAATATAGTATCAAAATACAATTATTACGTATATTATAATAAATATAAAACGGAAATAAATATAACAGTATAAGTTAAGTATATATATGCACCTACCAAACAAAGTGAAAATAGCGTCTGGCGTGACCATCTACGAAGCGATAAGTTTTTTAATTTTGTATATTTTTTTCGTAGAAAGAGTTAAAAGGTGTGTGTCCGGTGGCGGCAGAGTTAGACAGAGACAGATTTTGTATATATATATATTTTTTTTGGTTCAGTAGCAGCAGTAGTAGTAGTAGTAGTAGTAGTAGTAGTAGTAGCATCACCGTTAGGGAAAGCCAAAAACAAAAAAATCAGAAAAACAGAATTCTTTGAGTATCACAGTTGAACAATAATGATGGTATAAATAATTATAATATATAGAATATGAATAAAATTCAAACACTAATAATCATAACAATAATAATAATAATAATAATAACAATAATAATCAGATGATGAAAACATATTATCAAATGTGTGGGATATAGACGACAGATGGTGTTTGGTTATAGATGGGAGGGAATGGTTCGAGAAAAACGAGGATAATAGAGACGATAATATGATAACAGTGATTTTCTTCTGTAAACAAACGTCATCGTTATACTGTTGAGATTTAGCTGCGGGGAGATCACACCCACCACGAAATTTCTTTTGGGTGAGTGCAGATATCACACGATCTCGACCACATAATATTTATCGAATATATTATTATTATTATTATTATGATTATTATCATCATCATCATCAGGACACATGTGTAATTATTATAATAATAATGACGATGGAAATTGTATTTGTATTGCGTCTAGACGCGGAATAGTTTCTGTCACCTCTTCATTTAGGTTGCTGACCAACAGCACACACGTCTGTCCAGTCATTTGACCAGGGAGTCTGAGCGTTCCAGCAGCCAACGAACCACCGGGTAGGGTGAATCCGAGGGGCATGCTAGTGACGGGTGAGTTGGCGTATGACGTGGCTAGAGGTGAAGCGAGCCCGTGGACGGCGTTGAACGATGGAGTCARCATACCCGGACTGCCTGTTAACGAAGGAAAGTCAAAATTAAAGTTTTCGATAAGAACACGTTCGTTGTGCATAACAGAAACATTTTTAGTTACATGTATAGGTACTAATATGACTAAATTATGTATGTAGGTATATCAATAAACCTGCCGCGGCTGTTACCATAGTTTCATAATTCAATTTTTTCGAGTTTAGGACCTACGATCATATTTAGTYGGGCGGTTGATGTATTTCCTAATCAATTGAAAAATATTTTTGATTATGTATGGGTCCTAAATTAAAAACGTGTCACCTTAAAAAAAATGGTTTCTTACTATTAGTTATTACTGAAGTTAGATAAGTGGGGGATTTGTATTAAAACAATTCGATTTCTTTTTATCTTCAAATATCGAACCAAAATTCTCGATCCGCAGTATAAAATTAAATTGCGGTTTTTTTGTTATTTAAGTTTTGTAAAATCATTAAATATAAACGAATTGGATGTTCAGAAACATAAGGATAATAATCATATACATTATACCTGAGAGATTAATCGACACACATAGAACATACAGAACATGTTTAGGTATATTATAAACATTAAAAAGTAAAACACCATATCGAGCCATATTCGATGTATGTAGTA